ATTTTTATGTTTCAATACAATGTAAATTTGAATATATCATAAAATTTTGAAAAAAATATATATCGATGTCAATATCAAATTAACTATCTAAAAGTTCTTGATTTTTTGTGTAATTTGTTTAATTTAAATTTTATATTATAACTTAATTTAGATTTAATAAGGAAGTAGTTTACTTTCGGCTTAATAATACAACTTTTTTGCAAATCTGTTAGAAGTTAATGATTATCTCAATTATATTTTAAATTATTTTTATATTTAAAATGAGATGTTTATCATGTATTTGTTTACATTTATCTGCAATTAGTTACACGAATCCGGACATGGAGATTTAATAAGTTGTACTATCGCACAATTTACTTGTAATCTTAAATTTTAAGTAATATACATCAATAAATAGTACATAATGCATCAACAATAATTTTTAAGAGTTCGTATCAGATACTTTATAATATTGTATAGATAAGAAAAAATGATTTTAAATTAAACTCTCATTTATATGTAATTTAAACATCTCTTTTGTTAATTTTCTTACACCTCAATCAATATTAAACCTTTTTACCCTGTTCATGTAAGAATACTATGAAGGACGTGCGTTTAATATATTATGGATGATTAAATTAAATTTAATCAAATCTAAACCGTTGATGAACATTTTGGATGGATAAGATTGATTAACAAAGTTAACACTAATTGTTTGGTTAACAAAAGAAAATGACTCTATATATGTACACACATATAGTCGAATCAAGATCAATCTTGACATCGTATATATGACAATGTGATTACTATATATACATAATATCAATTTGAAATTCTTTTAATTATGATAATATATTATTTATTTATTATTTATTATTTTTGTTTGTATTAATTAACATATTACATTATTAGAGATTTATTTTAATTATATTATGAAATATTAGTATGCCAAACATAGTCTAAATGTTTTAATAGACAGTTTTAGGAGTTAAAAATATGGAACCAAATGATTGTGTGTTTTATATGAAGGTGTTAGCATGTTATAACGTATTTGAGTATCTTAACAAGTTTTTTATGACACTTTTGAAATATTCTTTTTTTATATGACATTTTTGAGAAGTGTCGTATGAACACATTTTTATATCATATTTGTGTTTGTAATACATTTTTCAAATAATGTAATATAAAAGAACAATAAGATCTTTTGTTTCAAAAAATTTGCCCTAAAATCTTGTTAGGACGTCTGAAAATGTCTTGTCAACTTATTGTAACTCATTTACAAATTACGTGCAATTGCTTATTTCTTAGACATATTTGACGTTCTATAAAAATTGATTTCATGACAGTGAGAAATCTCATCTAACCCGGGTTCGAATCTGGGTGCTACCAAAGCCCGTGTGGCTATGGAGGTCCGAACAATCCAATAAACCAAACATTAGATTGAAATAGATATATAATATGGTAATTATAGATATTTTTAACACTTGCTTTTTTAAAATATTCAGAGTTTTTTTATTAAAAAAAAATAGAATATAATATGGTAATTATAGATAAATGTTGATACACTGAATATGCTTTAGGATGCTGTCGGAGTTGTTAGACATGTGATGTCGAGTTAACTCACCAAAAAGCCAAATACTGGTCGTTAAACACAATATCATAGATTCCCATAAATCTTTATTCCAATATTCCTATAATTATATTCCATCTATTTCTAATTATAAAATACTTGTATGATGTTATGTAATCATCCCAGTACCAGATCCATAATTTTTAACGTGAATCAAAGGCCCGTAAAATTATCCGATGTATTTTTATTTGAATTCCACCGTTTTCAAGGGATTTCTTTAAGTTTCTTGGTTGATTTCGATAGACTTTTTCGGCTTTTTGGTTGATGTTCTTTATATTTTTTAATACGCCGGAGCACTCCTCAAAGTTTACCGGTTAAACTTTTCATAACCCAAGAAAAATTCTATTTACGAAAATCAGTAGACTGGTTCTGCGGGGGGCCTTTCACAGGTATGCCCCTGATTCATCCCTTGGTATGCATTTTTGCTTAGTTTTTGTTCCCTCCATCTAACTGTTGTCAATTTCATCCGTTCGGTCAAGGATATTATGGTAATTTTGCATTTTTGTTTCATTTTCATCATCCTCATGCTTTGACCGATTTCCACTGGCTTGCACCAATAAACCATCCCAAAATCTTCACTACTACTCCCATCTCAAAAAAATGCACCACCACCTAGAAAAATACCAATACAGAACACAAAAGTAAATCGATGGTAGTGAAATCAAAAGCTCGATTTGAGTGGAAATTCGAAATCCAAACCCAATATAAGCATCGATACCTAAACACAACAAAACCTAATCAAAACCAAAACCCAATTAGAATCGATGTTCAATATCGAAACCCATCTAAAAATTACAGATCATTGACCTAATAAAATTTGCTCTTCCTTTTCGTTGTCTCCCTCTATTGATGTTCAAAATCGAATATGTTGAGGATTCAACCCATATTTTTAAAAACGTTGATGTTCAAAATGGACCAACATCCTCACCGGCATTGGGTCGGTGGTATAGGGGCTGGTCCACGAATACCGTGTTTTATGACATGTGTGTGTGTGTATATATATATATATATATATCCTACATTATATATTTAATATAATAAGTAATATGTTATTTCTAAAAGGAACACGAGAGAGAAATGAAAAACGATCAAAATGTCCCTTACTTAACAGATAAATTAACAGCAGTTAATAAAAGGATTTCAAAATTGAGCAAAAATGTATACCACAAGGGTTTTCTTGCAATAAAATCTTCGTAAGGCCCAATCCAAAAAACACAAGGTCTTTTTTTAACGTTGAGACTTAGGGGCCATTTACCAAACACTTACATGATAAGTGATTATCGGTAAAATTTAACACTGTTTTTTACTTAACGGGCAAAATTTTAATCCATCAAAACGACATTGTATGCAACAATTCACCCGGTAAGCGTTTACCATGGTAAAAATTGTCGCCCTCACTTACCGGGTAAGGCTCATGGTCATTGTCTCGTTCTTACCGGATAAGATTCTTAGCCCTTACCATATTCATCCGATGAAGTAACGTAACTTGATAAACGCTTACCTGAATAAATGGTCGATAAACGGCCCCTTAGAAAGTACCAAAAGACTGACAAAATATACCAAAAAAAATGGATATCAAATTGAAATATTATATTTTCTTACAACAAATGGAATATTTTTTAATTTGTATTTAATATTAAAAAAAAAAAAGATTCGATTCTAGCCGATTGGCAAAAGGATGGTAAAACACAAGTGTGATCCACTAAAATTACATTTTTACCCCTATTAATTTTTTTTATTTTGATTCTTAAAGGGGTGGGCTAATGGCACCCCTAGAGTTTACCAATGGCACCCCTAAAGTCTACTTCATCATTTTGTTTTTTTTTGTTTTTTGTTTTTTTTGTCTTTTTGCTGGTTTTACTTTTTATTTTTTTCTATTTAAATAATTAATTAATTTGTTTACTTTATTATTTAATTATTTTTTGGTTTTATTATTTAAATTAATTTAAATTATTAATAAACATATATATATATATATACATACATATATTATTAATTATTAATAAATATATATTTCTTTTATATATTTATATTA